CCAGGGGCGCAGTCTCGTTGCTGGCGATGAGGGGGCTGCCTGCCGGGTCACCGCGGTCCATGGCGAATTCCCGCGCCGCGCGCCCTGCAAAGAACCGAAGGGGCAGTGAGGCCGGGACGCCCGTGGGGCTTAACCTGGGGAGCTGCAGCCCTGTAGCAGCTCCTGAGCGCCAGCCCGACCGCCCGACGTGGCTCGGGGCGTTCTCAGAGAGGAGGTCGCTTCGACTGGACTCGTTTGCCTCCCGCGTGTGGGGAGACTTTGGAGTCCGAATTCCTGGGCTCCTTAGAGGGCCAAGGAGGGGCGGGGTGCCAGCTTTACCTTCCACGGACAATTAAGCGAAAAGGCTTCTCTACCCGAGAAGAAAGATCTTGCAGGTACAGCTCCGGAACTCGTGGGCACTTCTGGAATGTTATAGGTGTCCAACCCCGCAGGAAAGATGGTGAGGGTCATTTTAGCGGAGCGCGGTGCCTACGCCGGCCGCTCTCGCACCATTGGCTTCCGAGGCCCGGGACCCCGGGGCGACCGCGGGAGCCCAGGGTAATTTCTGCCGGAGGAGTGTGAGACCCCTGGCCTCACCTCGGACTAAGGCACCTGCTACCCTCTGGGCTTGGGGACGGCGCGGCGGGGATCGGACCGGGGCCCTTACCTTTCCTGGAGCGGCCGTCGAGGGCTCTGCTCCGCTGCGCCAGCGGGGAAGGGGCTTCAAGCCGGGTCTGCGTGGCCAGGACCGCGCGGGTCACTCCATTCTGGTCCAAATGAAATAGACGGCCCCTTCCAGCCCCGGCTGGGAGCGCCTTTTCCGCGGGCGCCCCCGAGGACAAGCGTCTGTACGAACGAAGCTGGGTGTCGGGACACCACAGCAGGGCCGCAGAGTCCGCGCGCACCTGAGGCGCTGGCGCGGGGTCTGAGCCCTGGCGGAGCCGCGGTCTCTGCGGGAGGAGAGTCATTAATCAAAGCGTCGGACGGGGCGGGGCCTGAGGGGGCGGGGCGCCCGGCTGGCTCCGCCCCCTGGCGTCCGTGCCTCCCCGGGCGGGACGCCCCGCGCACCGCGTTCCGCGCCTGCGGAACCCAGGTCTGGGTTCGAGGACCCCCCGAACCGCTTCGCGAGTGACTTGTGTGAGCCCGGGCGCCGTCCAGGCAGGCCCCGAGCTGGGCGGAGACGCTGCCGTTTCGTGGAGCGTGACTGAGTTTTCCGCGAGGCGCCGTGGAGGGTGCCGCACCGCCGCGCTAGCCTCTTACTTCACCCCGAGGTAAAAGGTCCACGTTGCCCCGATTAGAGCGGTAGCGCCTCCTCCTGCGTGCTGCGGCCCAGCCGCCCAGCCGCCCTGCGACACGCCGCGCCTACCTCGAAGGCTTGAGGAGGTTCCCCAGTCACAGTTCACGGGCCGGGGTCTCGGTCGCTTCTCCCGGGGGCGCGGGCCAGGCCGGCCGCCTCCGATGCCCGCCTGGGGCCCCCGCTTTGAGTCGTTATTTGCACGTAAAATTTGTCCTGGCCCCGTCCCCATGCGAGGAACTCGCTGAGGTGCCTTGCGCTCGGGGACCCGCGGGAAGCGGGGCCGGCGCTGCGCCGCCAGGCGGGTTCCAAGCCGGCCCCGGGGGCGCGGGGCCCGCGCGTCCCCAGCCTTCCGAGGCTTCCGCCGGTCTCCGACCCCTCGCCTTCGGAGGCGAAGTCTGAGTGGACGCACGAGATTTTCTAGCAAGTTATTAGTCTATCCTTGATACAATGCCGACAGTTCGAAGGGCAGGACCTTCAAAACTCTTTGGGGTCAAGGCAATGTTAGATTTACATGATCATTCACGAAACTGCCCTTGTGTATGCGACAAATTTCAAACTTTACAGCAGATTTTTAAATTGGAACTACCAAGTATATGGTAATGGTGGCACTTGAATTTGGATATATCGTTTCACACTTCAGTATATTAGAGTGAATCAGCGCAATCTTCAGGCTCTCATGTCAATTCCCACTCAATAACTAATTAGATTGAACACTTTAGAAAGAAGCACACCAAAACACCATTGATTCAAGAAAAAGATTACTTTTTTTTTAATGAATGAGAAAACACATCTTCATTTTCCCAGTAAATTTTATGTAACGGGGATTAAAGCAATTGAAAAGCAGTTTCAGATTCAGTAAAAAAGCAAATCAAACAAGAACTTAAAGGTTTTTCTCATATAATGAGACCATAAAGCTACCAACGACAAAAGATGTTGTTGCCTCGTTCTATAAAGGTAAAAAGCAAATGTTTCAGCTCATTTAAGGCTGAGTTGACTCTTTTTTTTCTAACAAATTTTCTTTTGGGTTATGGAGAAGGCGAGGTTTGCGTACACCTTTTTTTGTCACTAAGCTTTCAGAGTACTTCAAAGAGAGATTCCTGTATTAATAGAGAAAAAAACATTAAATTATTTAAAAATGAAAGTTATCAAAACAAGTAGCAAACAGAATCTAGGTGACAATAACAAGGCTAATGATTAGTCACTAAACTATGTGAATCTTCTCAGGCTTTAAAGGAAGCAGAAGCAAAGATTCTCCTGCTGGGATAGGGAAGAATGGGGAAATTTATGAGTTGGGAGAGGTATGGAAATAATAATATTGGAGGGAAGGTGGCTCAGGACTAGGGCGAGGCAAATTAGGTGCCTTACGTTTTGCCTCTTTGGCATCTCACATCCTCACCTCAGCCTGGCCTGCTGGAATCTGCTGTTACTGCCAGAAGAGGGGTGGAGGCAGGGGCACAACTGAGGCTCTTCACTGCTAACAGTGGTTGGCCACTGGCCAGCTCCTGCCCAGCGGTCAGGTTGGGAAGGACTGATGTAACAAGTCCAACCCTAGGGACCACCCCCTTGTACTATCTGCTGCCACTCCAAGCAGCAGATACCAGATCCTCTGATGATTCTAGATTAGTCCTAATTCCTGCAAGAAACCAGTATTTTAAAAATAGATAAACATCTTCAAATTTTCAACTGTTAGGTAACTTAGTAACAGATACCTGACTTAACTCTATATGCACTAAGTGCATTACAAACATGTACTTTATTTTCCATTTAGTCTTTACAAAAACATTTTGAGGATTTTACATCTTACAGTAGAGAAAATGAAGCTCAGAGAGATTAAGTAACTGGTCTAAGGTCACACAGTAAGTGGCAGAGATAGGATTTAGGCCAGGCAGACTGATCCTAATGCTTGAGCTTTTTAGCCTACTGTATTTAATATTTGTATGTCATTCTTTGGATTTCTTGTCTAGTCTTCCAGAAAGTACATGGCTTTAGCTTGCTATAAATTTTATTTCACAGAGTGTGATATAGGTCTTAAAATTATACTTGTCTTTTTTTTAACATAGGTCAAATAATTTGTCATCTTAACCCCATCTTTATAATGTAAAATGATCACATGTAACAGTGAAGAAAATATATCGCTTTGAGGTATACATATAGATATCATACATAGGTTTTATATAATTGGTGCTTTTTTTTACCTTACAATTATTCCTCTTATTGTTTAATTAAAGTATAATTTACATAGATAAATTCACTTTTGAGTATATCGTTCAGTTTTGACAAACATATAGTCGTATAGCCAATACCACAATAAAGATATGCAATATTTCATCACTCTTCCCTCCCCTAGCATTTTTTTCTTTGTGCTAACCCTTTGTAGTCAACCCCTAGTCCTAGGCAACTACTGATGTTTTCTGTCTTTGTAGTTTTGCCTTTGCTAGAATATCATAGAGTCATACAGTATTTAGCCTTTTAAGTCTGGCTTCTTTCGCTTATATAATGCTCTTGAGATCTATCCATGTGGTTTCATGTATCACCACGTCATTCCTTTGTAATGCTGAGTAGTATTCCATTGTGTGGATATACCACAGTTTATACATTCCCCAGTCTGGAGACCCTTGGGTTGTTTCCTTTTTTCGGTGATTGTAAATAAGCCACTATAAACATTTGGGTACAGATTTTTGTGTGAGTATAGGTTTGTTTCACTTTGGAAAATACTTAGGAATGGGACTGTTGATGTGGTAAGTCCATGTTTAACTTTATAAGGATATGTCAAACTGTTTTCCAAAGTGGCTGTACTATTTTTGAATTCCCATAGGTAGTGCCTTAGAGTTCCAGTTGCTCCATATCATTGCTAGCACCATTTTTTTTCTTTTTTATCTATCTTAATAGATATTTTTTAAGAAAAGAATTGACCCAATATTTTAAAGTCAGATGATTTCACAATCTAGATATCTTGCTTGTCAACTAATATAATTTCTCAAGTTCAACATATCTGCCTGGCTACATTGTTTTAGAGCCAAGTAGATAGAGTTGCCTTTAGTTGGACTTGTGCTCTCCAGTTCACCTCAATCATATTTTCACCTGCTTCCCTCACCTACTTCACCCTGCTTATACCTGAGAGAATTTTTAACATTCCCTTCCAGAGTCATTGAGAGCTTGGCTTTTGAAGTTAGCGACCTGGATTCAAGTCCCAATTCTGCCTCATGGCAATATGTGACTTTGGGCCCCTCTAACTGGGCCTCGCCAGTGCTCACGTCCCCATTTAGAAAATGGGGCTGATAGTATTTTCCTCTCAAAGGGTTCTACGTTTTTTAAAATTTGGGTAACGAAGATTCAGCTTTCAAAAGAGACTGGAAAATAATATAATTCTTATAAATGACATGTTACTTAACTCTTTATTCACAGAATAAGCCATTGACAATTGAGACTAGAAGTCACAAAAGCTACCTTAGTCTGTTTCTAAAAACTTTTTTGCATACCATAATTGCTTTTTATTTTTTTGAGGGGGGTGCGGGGGATGTCTTAATTTCAGAAGGGTGCTTTGAGAACGTCATATCAAAATCTTAACATTATACCTACATTATTGATTACATATACATTTATTTTACCTATAAAATGAATTATACTGAGGTTAGGTTCAACACAATGAAATTAAAGGCATTTAGAATTCTGCAAATAAGTTTATATAAGATCATCCCAGAGCTTTGTGACTAAAATATTTTCTAAGTTTTAAAAATTATTTTTGAAGCACATAGGAAATTGTTCAAACATAACCCAACAGTGATGAAAGCAACTTATTTTTACCGTTTTTAAAGTTCACTTTTTAACTCAAAGAAATCTAATGTTTCCATATTCTAACTGAAGATAGTAGGAATTTTATAAATAGTTAAATAATGTACAATGAACATTTCCTGTGAATTATGGGTCCCAGAGATTCACATTTCTTAAAGGTATTTGAAACTAAGGGCATTCTAGCCCAGTTAGAAAGTTATTATTTTTGCATTAACGAGAGATGAATTGACTCTATTGATATTGCTTAGGCTTGTAAGATAGTTAATCAAGCAACAATTTGCTTTTTTTATTGTATAGTGCTGTACAGTATTCTCAGTGGATCTTATTTACAATACATAAATGTATTTAATGTCTATTTTAAAATTACTAAGGCTCAAGCACCTCCTAGCATGTTCGAAAAGAGGAAACATCTGTCAGAAGTATTTACTGTGACAAACACAGAAAGAAGCAATAATGTGTACATTTTTTGTTTAATACCATATATTATTTTTAATTGAACACTGAAGGCATTTGTTCAGAATGAGCCTTTAAGTAAAAAATAGTTTTGAACTAATCTTTAATTAAAGTGTACATTGATAGTATCGACTTCAGTTTGAGGGTCAAAAACAACATCAATGAGTCTGACTTTTTCCTCCCTGTAGGGAAGGAAGGCTTGTGTAAATATACATGAGCACAGACTGCATGCATTTGTGAAGGAGGTAGAAAACACTCCACTGTCAGTGGACAGATGTTGCTTCACTGCGTTCCATGGGATTCAGGCACAGCTCCCAGTATATGGATACTTAAAGGCGCATGGGGCACAGACTTTTAGCATTTTGGAAAAAGCACTCTAAGCTCCTTCTCACTTCTGAGCAGGCTTTCCACCCCGAATATTAAATGTGGACTGTGGGCCGTGTGTCTGCTGATGCCAGCTCATTGCTTCCCTTGAAGTAATTAAGGGAAGGAGTTGCTTTTATCAACTTTTTAAAAACTAAAAATCTATTCTTTGTGTTTGGGCTAGGTATTTTGTTTTTAACACTTTACTAACTTAGCTTTATACTAAGTTAGTAAAATGTTAGCAATAGGCACACTAAAAATCTATATCAAGAGCTTAATGAAATTTCATCATATTTTTGGTCACCTTTTATAAAAGAGAGGTAGAACTGATTTTCCCATTTAACAAGATTTAAATCTTTTGTGATAACAAAATGATATTTTGGCATGCCCTCAGTAAAAATGTTACCCGAGGAAATAAAAAACATTTAAAATATGTAATATTTTTTTCACATTATGAAACTAAAGACTCAGGGTCGAACATGATCAACTTCACTGCTAGTGACATTCTTTATGTTCTTTCACAGGGACCCCCCTATTCTGCTGGCTTCTTTTAGGATGTTTTTATAGTACATAGGAGTTTAAAATGCATTTAGCTTAGTACTGAGTGTTCCTAGTTGGGACAATTAAAATAGAGTGATTTATTTGCTGTTTTGTCAGTGCAGTTGTAGTGATGAGAGCTTTGCTTGGGGCTATAGAATATATGGCATGTGCCACAGCTCACAGCTCAAAGTGTGTGTGACAATGTATAGAATTTACCACTGTTTTCTGTGTCCATTTTTTATTGTTTTCTTTTTTACTTTGGTAATGTATTAGCAAGACCTTTCAAAATACTTGGCAAGAAACACAACTCAAGAACAGTGTTGTGGAATTGACACCAAGTTGTGTAAATCTTTAAGAAACTGTTGGGGTGCTATGGACAAGCTGGCTAAGGTTTTGATGGTAATCACAGGGCATAAGCAGTAAAGCAAATTTTCACACAACTTCCAGTGTGTGTGTGTGTGTGTGTGTGTGTGTGGAGGAGGCAAGACTGAAACTAGGACTCCCTGCATCCTGCATACCCTTCCCCTTCTTCTCCCAGTAAAGCATTTATAGACCCACAGGAGGCTCCCGGAAGCCTGCCCTGGCAAACTTAAGCCAGTCTCCCCGGGATAGGGTAGGACATGCAGCAGTGTTGCTCATGAGTCTTCCTCAGGTCTCTCCGTTAAGGAATGCTAAGACACCATCTCTTGACTGGACCCTGCGAAGAGGGTCTCGTGAAAACCCACCTGACCTTCAGCAGACAGTTCTGGAAAAAGGAAATGTATTCCAAAGTATGTCTACTGGCTCTGATTACTTTCTCAATGAAATATGCTATTGGCCTTCATTAGAGCAATCATTTTTTTATTATAAATGAAAAAGCTGAATAATTTATAGGCTGTATTATGATCTGGTTTATAATGTCCATAGCATTCATCACACTGTACAGTAACTGTATCACATTTGACTCTCCAACTAGCTTGTTGGAAGGTCTCTGAGATCAGGACTATCTCATTTGAGTTTTTATATTCAGTACTGCCTGACATATAATAAATAAGTCTATTTATTCTAGATTTATGAATAAACAAAGTTATCTTCTGTTAGGATTTCTCATTATATGAAAGCAGTATCATCTTTTAAAACCCAAAAAGCAATTTTCTTCTCATCAGGAGACTTACAGCCGATTCACATGGAGCTAAATTATTTATATTCTCAAGGTTTAGCACAGTGATTCTTAAACATTTTTTGGATTGTAAACCCCTTTGAGAATCTAATGAACTTTTAATGTCTCCTTCTGAGAGACCAGATGAAGAAGCTTTGGTTTGGGGAAATGGTAAAAGTAGCCTACCTCTGCAGTGTCCGGCTTCCCCTCCTTTCTGCCACCACATGCCCTTGCTGTCCTCATCCATTCCCTAGTGGGCCACCCATCATCAACTGGGCCTCACTCAGGCTTCTTGGATATGATCCCTGCTCCTTCACACATCCAGACCTGCTGCTCCCGGGACTTTCCTGTCACCTGTCCTACCTCAGGGAATGACTGTACTTCTTGACCAGCGCCCCCTTCCACCTCAACTTTGTGACTGTTTGGGCAGATCAATAGTGAACTTCTTTTTTTTTTCTTTGGTGCTTGGCCGAGAAGAATTGAGAACAGAACAAGGAGAGACAGATGATGGGCCTCTCTTTCTCTGTGCTGTTGACAGTCAAGATGTCCCATCCTCCCGCAAAAGATAAATCTCACAAATATTTGAAAGAACCCACCTGGTCTCTTCAGTAACTTTAGGGTTATCTTCTTGAGAGCTTTCTAGAGATGCATTTCCATTCGGAAGGTATCTCTGTACATCAGAGAAAAAGACTAATTTTGGTTTACCCACCTGTGGGTAATAAACAGGAACTATGTGATGCATTGTTTCAAAGTTACCTGTAGCATACAAAGAATTAAAAGCATTCTGCTTTGAAATCAATAACTAAATTGTAAACATGGCATACAACAGCATTAGACTGTCTAAAATTATATTTTATGAAGTGGAATTAAAAAACGTTAAATAGATCTATGGTAAAACCAATTAAAAATGTCCAAGATAAAATATCACAGATTTTCATACATAAAAACCTACACAGGAAAGTTTATAGTCAACTCTCATAGACAAAATGTGTACACCAACATTACTATAAATATTAACTTCCCTTGTGTTTTGCTGTTCTGAGTTTATTTTTTCAGAGTGTTTAACTTTTAGGAAGTAGATTAGTCACATACAGTTTTTGAAATATGTTCATGCCTTTATTTTGGCCCTTAACATTCTACGTCATTATAGACCATTCTCCATTTCTAGCAGTGATTTCCCTTTAAGTGGGGGACTACTTTAATCACTTCTAATTCCCATGCCTTAGCATAGTCTGGGACACATCAAAAGTGCTCAATAAATGTTTATTAAATGAATAAATGAATGTTTCCATCAAAGCATTACAGAAGTCAGTGCTAAAAGATATGCATACATTCTGGATTTTATTAAGTGATTTTGTTTTCAATTTTGAGTTATATCGATATGTGGCTATATGTAGGACAAGATTTTTATTGTAAGATAATAAAATCTGAGGTCCGAATCCCTATAATCTTACCATATGTCCCTAATATAGAGCTCCAAATTTACAAGGCTATCAAAAATATGTAGAAATTCAGGAAGTATAAAAGTTGCTCTCTTCCTAAGAATTCCTGTTCACTTAAAATGTATTTGGTTGTACAAGGGTGTCTTAAAAAGGTTCATCTTTGCTTTTCTAAAGATCTGAAGGTATACTGTAAGTTTTAAAAACATGTATCTTCTGGGCTTTAATTCATGTTTTCCATTTCTCTTGAGCAGTAATGACAGAGCCTTCATAAAGACCATAGTGTAAGCTATTGGCCACATACCTAAGGATAGAGTTATTGTGTGTTATATACACATATCTAGGGATGTCATTGTTTTTAAGCCTCAGAGGTTCAGAACTGTATCATTTGTTTGGGTAGGAATGGCAAACGTGTAGGAGGTGAGAGAGAAGAGTATCTACAAGTGGCCAAAGGAGAGTAAGTATTCCTGAGGAAACGCAAGATAATTTTCTATTGCAGTGAGTCAGCTTTCAATTTGTTTCAGTTTTATTTTAAGTGACCTTAGAGTCTGTTTTTCAATATAGTAAGTCATATCTATTTGAATACTTTTAAAATTTCAAAGTTCTTTAATAATCTATTATTCCATATTCTTCCTCGTTCCATTTTATTCATAAAAATTTACATATCACATGTTTACACATCTGTAGATTTTCCTAAATTCCCACCATACCTAAGTGAATCTCTAAGTAGAGCAGACATTTTTGTCCTTACGCCTAAGCCCAATTCAGCCAGTCATCACTAGAGTGGTCACTAGGAGTTGGAGCTGTTTCATGAAGTTAGATAACGTTGATTAGTCACCATACCACCTGCTGTCTTTGTGAGCTCAGATAATTTATTTCATCGTTCTAAAACTCTGCTTTCTCATCTGCAAAATGGACATAATAATTATCTGCCCTAAAAATTATAATGATTAAATGCAATAATGTGTGTAAATATCTGAAATGATACTTCTGTGCTATATAATATCCTATAGGTCTTTTTAAAAATTGTGGTAAAAACTCTTAATGTGAGATCTATCTTGTTAACAAATTTTTATGTGTAAAATACACTATGGTTGACTATAGATACAGCTTTGTACAGCAGATCTCTAGATTCATCTTGCTTGACTGAAGCTTTATGCCCATTGTTTAGTAACTCTCCATTTCCCCCTCCCTCCAGCCTCTAGCAACTACCATTTCATTCTTCGATGCTATGAATGTCACTGTTTTAGATACCTCATATAAATGGAATCATTTAGTATTTGTCTTTCTCTGAGTGGCTCGTTTCATTCAGTATAATGTCCTCAAGTTTCATCCATGCTGTCACATATTGTAGAAATATCCTTCTTTTTAAAGGATAAATAGTATTCTATTGTATGTATATACTACATTTTCCTTATGCATTCATTTGTCAGTGGACATTTAGGTGGTTTCCACATCTTGGCTATTGTGAATAGTGCTGCAGTGAACATAGGAGTTCTAATCTCTTTGAGATTCTCATTTAATTATTTTGGATAAATACCCAGAAATGGGATTGCTGGATCATAGGTAGTTCTATTTTAAAATTTTGAGGCACTGCTATACTGTTTTTCATAGCGGCTGCACCATTTTGCATTCCCACCAACAACGTGCAAGGGCTCTTAATTTCTCCACATCCTCACGAACATTTGTCATTTGCTTTTTTGATAATAGCCATCCTGACAGATGTGAGGTGATAACTCATTGTGATTTTGATTTGCGTCTTTCTGATTAGTGACATTGAGCATTTTTATTTATACCTGTTGGCCATTTGTAGGTCTTCTTTGGAGTTATGTCTGTCCAGTTCCCTAGCTCTTTTTAAAATTGGATTATTAGACTTTTTTTTTTCTTTTTTTTTTGCTATCGGGTTGTAAGAGAATCTTTTTTCTTTTGGAGCTTAACCTCATATCAGATATATGGTTTGCAAATATTTTCTCTCATTCTATAGATTGCCTTTTCACTGTTTCCTTTGCTGTGCAGAAACTTTTTAGTTTGTCACACTTGTTAATTTTTGTTTTTGTGGTCTGTGCTTTTTGTGTCATAGCCATGAAATTATTGCCAATACTAATCTCATGAGGCTTTCCCTTTGTATTTTCCTCTAGGAGTTTTACAGTTTTGGGCCTTATGTTTAAGTCTTTATTTTAATCTATTTGTGTTAATTTGTGTAAGGTGTAAGATAAGGGTCCAGTCTCATTCTTTTGCATGTGACTATTCAGTTTTCATAATTCTGTTAAAGAGACTGCCCTTTCCCCATTGTGTATGTTTGGCACCCTTGTCAAAGATCAGTTGACCATTTACCTGTGGCTTTACTTTTGAGTTCTCTGTTCTGTTCCGTATATCTGTATGTGTTTTATGCCGGCACCAAACTGTTTTGATTACTGTAGCTTTACACTGTGTTTTAAAATCAGGAAGTTTTGATGCCTCTAGCTTTATTTGTCTTTTTCAAGGTTGATTTGGCTACTTTGTGATCTTTTGTGGTTCCATATGAATTTTAGAGTTGTTTTCTATTTCTGTGAAAAATGCCGTTGGGATTTTGATAGGGATTGCATTGTATCTGTAGATGCTTTTGGGTATTATGGACATTTTAACAATATTAAATGTTTCAGTCCTTGAACACAGGCTATCTTTCCATTCACTTGTATTTTAATTTCTTTCATCAGTCATTTATAGTTTTCAGCATACAATTCTTCTATTTTCTTAGTTTAGTTTATTCCCAGGTATTTTATTCTTTTCGGTGCTATTGTATGTGAAATTGTTTTCCTAATTTCCTTTTCAGATAGTTGTTAGTGTATCTACATGGCTTTAAGGATTGCTTTTGTTAATTAGTTGGAGGTCATACTAGATGATCAAGAGATTAATAAGGATTTTACTGAGAAAATTAAATAGCTATAAGCTTTTAAAATTGTAAACTTTAAGGCACATTAGATTATTTTGTCAAATTGCATTGGCAAACTTAAAATTAATCTAATCGTCTCCGAATTAGCAAGAATTTATGAAATCTATTAAGGCACATTAGATTATTTTGTCAAATTGCATTGGCAAACTTAAAATTAATCTAATCGTCTCTGAATTAGCAAGAATTTATGAAATCTATTAAGATGAAGGAAACAACATTATTTTAAAGTAGGCTTAATTTGGGGGTGAGAGCTGATGTTGAATTCTGTGAGTACTTCAATACCAATTAGGCACTTCGGCATCTTTGCTATAACACTGAAAATATGGAAAATACTGGACTCCTTAGCCTGGGTCTTGTTCTACCTTTCACAGCCAGCCACAGGTAAACAGAGGAGGAGAAATGGCTTCTGTCTGTTTTATAGGTTTCAGATCTTGAGAAATTCACATTATCAACATAGTATCATGATTCATGGGGATACTATCAGCTCAAAAAGTTCCATTCTTTAAAATGATTTTCCACAGTTTCTATTCAATAGACATGGCAAAATCATCAGAGCTCCATGTCTTTCCACCTCTGCTCTGCTTCTCCTCACCTCAACCTCCTTGTCCTGGAGACAGAGCTCCTAGGATATGCACAAAGCCTCAGTTCACTGTTACAGTTTCCCTTTCCCATTCCCCTGGCCTAACCCCTTTCCATGCCCCCATCCTCTGTTAGCTATGGAACAGGAAGACCGTTAGCGTTCAGCCACTTTCATGGAATGGAGGAACGGGCTCATCCCAGTGTTGTGGACTACGGAATCTGTGAAGACTTATTCTAGAATGCTACCCAATGTGAAAAAGATCATTGTTACCCGTTGCACTGAGCTACATTTAGTTGCATAACTTAGGCAAGGGAGGTTGGCCGTGTCCTTTGCAATACAGCCTTAGGCATATGATAATCAAAATATGCAAGTGTTGGCGTGCGTGCATATGAAAGGGGACAGGCCACAGAATATAGGCCACAGATGTGGCTGTGATACATTTTTATTTTCTATCCCAATGAAAAATGAGATTTTTGCACTGTTGCTAAACAAATATACTGGTAAGTTAGGTTTCACAATTTACATAGCTGATTGTTTTTTCACCTTTTACATAACCAATATCATGCACTTTTGCCAGATGTAAAATTATACATTTCCCCCACCCTTAATGGCTCTCCGTTTCCATGCCGACATAGTCATACTCAACCAAACACAGCTTTTCCTGATCGTGGCTACATTTTCATTTATAAACATTACAGGTTAAATTTCCTAGGTGTTATAAATAAGTTAAAAAACCCAAATGCCTTAAACAAAAAATCTAAATAAAGCTTCCTATTTCTCTGAATTTTTGTTGTTGTTGAGTAGATTGTTCCCCTTTGCTAGTAGATGTGGTCAGCTACTGAATGACAGCCTACTTACTCAAGTATGAGTTACTTGCATCCTCTTTATTAGTGTTCTTTTTCTTGCTGATTTTCTTGGCATCTTTGGATGCTTTCCAATTTATTAGGAATTGTCTTTCCATCTTTTTAATTTCTTTTCCATCAAGGAATTCTAGAGAAAAATATACATGTTAAAAAATACAATATATAAATATCAACATGTAGGTAAAATTTATAGTTTTCTGGTTTAGGACACATGAACTTAAGTTACACTGTAGGCTGAAATACATTTCTTTTTAAAGTGCCTTACTTACACAACTTCTCTATTTTTGTGTAGCTTTTATTTATTTTTGATTATTTTTTCTGATTTTAAAAAAGATATATGCTTATTATAAACAACTGAAACATGACGGAGAAAACATAAAAAGGCTCTGTGTTACTATCCATACTTCTTCCTATCACTGACAGAGATAATCACTGTAAACAATTTGATGTATGGTCACCCATCTATGGTCATATATACATTATATTGTTATTTTTAAAAACAAAAATGTCATACTCAACAAAAATTAAATATCCATTAATTTAAATAATATGGTTATATTTAGGAAAAAGCAAAATATATTTTATCTTAAAGTGAATAAGAAGTTTTATGTATGTAACATGGTATTTTAAAAGCACATACATTAATAATGCTTTTATATCCTAGCACATAGGCTATAATAGAAACAACCCACATAGCTGGCTTCTTGGTTCTATGAAGTGAGATTTCAACTATCTATCTTTATATTTTGTTCCTTTAAAAAAGTTTTGAAAATTGAACATCTTAAATTACACAAATAATTTTTGTATGTTTAAGATATTTGGAAAATACAAAAAAAAAAAAGAAGAAAATTAACATTGCTTGTATTCTGCAACCAAAAATAATCTCTAAAAACCACTGATAACACTTTCGTATATTTTTTAGCATTTTTTGTTTTCTATGTATGTATATGTATTATATAAAATTGGAATTCTCTATACAGCATTACAGCCTACTTTTTAATATTGTATTGTGAGCATTTTATGTTTTTCTTTAAACACAGTTTTTAATGGCTGATAGTAGTCTATTATAAATGGAGATACTGTAAATTTATAGGACATTTTATATTACCTTTTTAATTACATGAATACGGGTGGCCTTAAGATAAAGACTGTATTTTCTAGCAAAGTTTGCAATATAGTATTTTTGAAAGTAAATATATTTTCTTTCATCATCCATGTAATATCTTCTCCTAGATCTCAGAACGTAGAAAGGATGTAGTAAAAATTGTTAGATTATATTAGTACAGGGAAAAATGATATGTATACTGATAAAATATTTACGATACTACTGAAAGTATTAACATTGGCACTTAAATATGATCCATAGTATTGGTATACAGAAAGTACAAAATCAAGTGATAAAACTAGAAATATAAACTAGATCCATAAACTCTAGAAGTATAATTGTTTCTGCATCTCGTCTCATGCACTTATTTTAACTGAACAATAGCGCTCTCCAGATTATAATATAAGAACTTGGCTAAATATTTTATCATCATACATCTTAGTACTTATAACTTTACATTAAAGGTCATTGTTTTATGCTCAGATTCTCAAACACTTTTACTTATTGATATCTTTCCAGATCTGTTTTTATTAATAATCATATAATTGGTTAATATATTATTGGATGTGATGTGTGTAAATCAGTGCATAGTTTTAAAACATCTATTATAAGGATAAGGAATGATCCAGGACTTTTACCATAACCCTGTCTCCTTATATTAATGTTCCAGAAAAAACTGAGAAATGACTGAGAGACTATGCCTTGTTAAATCTGATTCTATCTCACTTTTAGCAAATGATCTTATTTACGGTTATTAGGTGTACAAGTGGTTCGGGAGGGGTAGCCAAGTAATGGACACAAGATCAGAGACCTGTGAGATTCGTGTTAATGAGTTGTTCTCAGCCCCAAATTTGCTTCCACTCACACATAGTAAACCAAGTGTGGGGATTGTCATTCTGTTTGATCAGGACTAGGTTACTAACAAAACAGAAAATGGCTCCCCGTAGTTCTTACCAGGCCCTGAGTTAATTTGTGTTTTTTGGTTTGCACTTAGGAAAAAGAAAGAAATTAAAATGAGACAAGCTAAAAACAGAGAATGTTTAGACATGTGTATAGGCATAGAATAAAGACGGAAAGGACATATACTAAAGTGTTAACAGATTTATAGCAGGATTAAGAATATTTATTTTTTGTATATTTTCTTCATTTTCTAGAAGAAATATGCAATTTATAATAAGATGTTATAGAAAATATTTATTTTTAAAAACTTTGAATAAATCTTTATTTGAAGATCAGTATACACATCTCCTTATCTTTTACACATTGCCTACAGTACTGTATATGAGCAGTGTTTCCAGAAGTGGTTCCATAAACACTGGAAGATTCTTAATTATCAAATGTTAATAATATTTACTCCACTTCCTAAGGGAAGTGGACTAATAGAATTGTGTGTGATGGGCAGAGAGGAGAGGAGATGGAGAGTTGAGGGTGGTGTGTAGCAGAATCATCTGTAGAGATTATTCTCCCTGTGTATTCTCTGTTCCCTACCCTTGGCTGGTGGGGTACAGGGTGGGCAGGGTATGACCCTCACATATGTATTTTGAAAAATCATCTTGGATTTTTCTGATATGCTCTCTGTCAATCTCTTCTTCTCCCAAGAGAACCACTGCACTAGCATTATAATTAATCAAGGTTTACTACAGCTATGAGCTTTGAAATGGTTTTCCGTGCATTAGTTTTTATACCTAAGTACAACATGTCACAGAAGTTCTAATACAGGAAACGTCTCATGAATCCTACTTTGTGAGAGGGCAGTGCTTGTCTCTACAGTGCTATATAACTTGGTCCCTGCCGAAGAACTCTGGTTCATTTCCCCCAGTATAGTGTGTATTCAGGAATGTTTTTATTTATAAGGGTCTCATAAAGGACTCCCCGCCCTGCTCTGCTATTAATGAAAATAACTCCTCTGTTCTCAGGTACTATTTGGCAAGTGTCAAACAATGAAGACCTTGAACAACTTTCTCTACAAAACCAAGAGCTAAAGAGTCTCAGGATCTTCAGAGGATTTGTACCAATGGAAATTTGGCAAAAGGTGAGCAAGTTCTACACATTTATGACCAATTTTTTTTTGTTTGTTTGTTTTGGTTACAGCCATATTTTCTGTTTTAAAGAAAAAGTATCTGGTACCTTGATTAATTATTTCTGAACAGTAGATATTGTTCCTGTTTTATTTCTCAATTTTAACTCTTATTCAAAATATCAGATTTAAACTTGACCATTTTTGTAGATCCAGATGTCATATTTATATTTCTAAAGGCTTGCTGATAAATTAGCTAAAAGGTGAACCAGGTCTTTTTCTCTTAAGAAAATAATATTAATATAATATAAACATGTACCCAGTGATTTGGACACCAATATCAGTCTGTCTCTGTATTTTGGTTTGAGACAAACAGGATTTCCATTTAGATCCATTTTCCACAGCTTCATCAACTTGTTCAGTAAAAACTCCAAATCCTGTAATTACAGAAGAAAAAGCAAAACACAAATATTTCATAATTATCAGTATTTCTTTCATTCAGTTAACTGTTTTTAACACTAATTATGGCTTTTCATGGCTTCCTCACCCAGTGCCAGGTACTTAGAAAGTGTACCATAAATAAGTATATATATATATTTTTTGATACAATGGTCTATACTAATAATAGAGAGGGCTAAAGAGAAGGCAAAACGTGAGGTCCTGAGTTGGGAGCCACAGAACAATTCTCTGTCACACTCCTTTAAATGGACCCAAACTGCAGCTCAGAAAACACTTTTGCCCCTTTGGCCACCCACGCTGCAGAAGATGCCCTATTCTTAGTGGAGTTTGGAAGTTTCCAGATTAAGGCAATTAAGGAGTAGTGAGTAAGCCATCCATTGGCATTGCAAGAATGTGAGAAGAACACTAATAGGATTTAAGAACTAGCCCTCTCAGTTTGCCCTCCTTCCCGCCTCTCTCTCTCTCTCTCTCTCTCTCTCTTTCTCTCTTTTCCCATCCAATATCACTATCCCTTTCTCCATTGCCTTGTCTTTTTGTCATTCTTTTCCTTGCTTTCTCTCTTCATTTTTTAAATATGTATTTTTTTTAGCTAATATTTAATGGAAGTGAAATATACTTGGAGTATTTCTTATATGTACCCCAATATTGTTTTTAATTTTAAATCAGATACATTTAATCTGTAATGAATTACTCAAAACAAGCAAAGTAAAAATTGTTTTTCTACTCTATAGCCTTCAATTGATTTTTAAAAATTTAATGGCCATGGGGTGGGGAAGGGGTGGGGAAAAGAAAAGGAAAACTGCCTTTAATATGGCAAAAACATTACAGCAGATGTTTGTCGCTAAAGTAACAAATGTTGATAATAACTAATTCTGTGAAGATCTTTCTGGTTTTCAGAGCACTTGCCCTATATGTCATCTTGTACATATCTAGGGGGGGTTGCTATTTAGAATATGGGGGTGGTAGTGGATTACAAAGTTAATGAAAATTCCAGAAGGTAGCAGCAGGCAAGCACCTGTGAGTCTTCCATTTGTTTTCCTCAAGCCAGGACAGAAATTACCCTAGCATATCAGGGAAAATTAGAAAATACAAATTATAGATTAATTCACACATGTTCTTGATTGCAAAGCAAAAAGTAATTGACAATACATTGCCTGGTATTTTTATTCCCTTTTATCATTTCCTCACCTTCAAAGCTTGGTACCTTTCAAAAGGCCTTATATATCCATTTAACCTAATTGTACCTTCCATCTTATTTTTTGTTTGATCCCTGTTTATTGTTGCTTGGATACTTCATTTTTCCATTTTGGGAAGAATATCTTATAAGATTACATTTGTTCTTTAGATTTTAGATTTTAGAAAATCTTTTTTTTTTTTTTTTAATACTATGAAGTTTTGACAACAGTTCCCTCCCACATATTGCATACCCCCACAAAATTCTGTCATATTGTGGAGATAACCAATTTGGAATATTTAGATATGCACCTGCATCTGCATGAAGAAATGCTGTCTTTGGGGAGTGATCACAAGGAAAGGTGGGTGTCTAGGACCCACTGCAGAGTACCCAGTAGGTTAATCTTCCTGAGGCCAATGTCTTCCTACATAAAGTGGTAAAAGCATTTTTAGTTCTGCCTACAAAATATTTATTGAATTGCTAAGTCTAGCTAAGTTCTGTGCTAGACTTTGAAGTATCCAAATAATTTATGTGAAAAATAGGAATTATTTTTAAAAATGCAGGCAATCTCAAGCTTCCCAGCACTGCTGCATACTGTTTGACCTTAGGCAAGCCTGTGTCTTCGTTTATAAAGTAAGGATAATTAGGATTACTCGCCATGGCATATAAATGCCTGGAACAAAGTAGGTTATAATAAATGTGTTAATTCTCTGCCTCTTTGCCTGTCCTCCCACCTCTCAGCTTATTTTATTTCTCTTAATTTTGGTCAACAGAGAGCAAAAAATTGTTTAAGGAAGAATAAGCTTCTGACTCACTGAATGTAGGTGACTTATAAGAAAGCTGTCTTAAAAAGTTATAACTTCTTCCCTCAATCCTGGGCCCTGGATTATGCTCTCTCTACAGTATTTGTTTAACAGTGTTTGATTCAGCCATAATTATCTTATTTTATGTGAGATTTTAACTGCATTTCTCTTAGTCTAAAAACCTCTAAGGAAGGAATTGTGCATTGCATTTTTGTACAGTGTTGAACATGATGCCTGTCATCCTAAAGTTAAGTAATAAAAACAAAAGAGAATTTTAAATTTATACAGATAAAAAGAGTCCTATAGAGTTTTGTTAATTGTTTCTCATTTGATAAATGACCCTCGACATCCTCCCTCCAGTGCGTGTTTACTTAAGACTAAACTAATCCTGCGCTGAAATATGATTACCCTTTGGATACGCTCCGGTTGTTCATTGCCTTCCTGTCTTTAATAAAATGCTTTCACTTTCCTGCCCTTCAATAAATGACTAAAGGGAACAGACACTTTTCTGGATAGTCTCTGTTTGATAAATGATCATGTCATGCTATCACTTGGAGGAGTGCTGCAGAGTCCTGAGAAGCCAATTCTATTGCCCGTGTAGGGCTGGTGCAAGCTCCTGTATGGGTGCCTGCAGCCCTGGCAGTGCTCCCTCTGCAATTAATGACAGCCACTGATGAACCTGTATTTGACCAGCATTCTCCAATCTTTATCGGAAACGTCTGGTCCAACTGTCCTAACTAACTCTAAAGACAGCCATTTGTCATCTCTCTGACTGCCTGTCATCATCTGCCTGGGAAAATCTATAATTTTTGGCTTGTTCCTGACTAAACTGTAGAGTGAATAAATTTATCTTTGGGTTACTCTCCTTGTCAGGATCAATATTGAGCAGAGGTTGAATAAATTAGAAACTGGAAAAACATGACAGGCGACAGTGGTTTGTTCATTTGTATCTTATAAATCAAATATTTAGTTTATATAAGAGGCAAGCATGTCAAATTTTTGATTTCCACCATTCATTCTGAAGATGCTTTACCTCATGATAAATGGTCATCAGAAAACCAATGAAGTAAATCACTAATATATCTGACTGTGAGATAAACTTTTCAGGTCATTTTATTGATTAAGCAAACTTTGTAGACATAAAAACTGTAGATATAGATTGCAAAAATTTTTGTTCCTTTTTATGCATTTTTGCAACCATGATATTTATTTGACTTAATAGCGTCAGCCAGCTATTTAATGTTGGCCCTATTGAAGTTCATGGCTCATCAAGCTACTTGGAGAGATGCAAAAATTTTATTGTAAATGGTCTTGAAAGTTTGTAATATTTTAATACATCGTTGCATACCTATTTAAAGGAGTTACAGGAAAAAATTCAAAGAAATATTAACCAAAAGTAACTGTCATTTAAATGAGAGCCCTGTGTGTTAAAGAAAGGAATTTCTAAACTATGGAGTATTGTTTGGCTGAAAACCTCTCTTTTTCTTCCTCTTCAAGGGTTGACTTTGCTGCCAATTTTATTGGGGAGAACTAGGTTACCCGTCCACAGAGTTTTCTCAGTTATCTGCCTTTGGTCTCACGCTTCCTATTCTATTCCTCTTTCCCATTTTTTTTTTCAACAAAGAAAGGGTCCTCCCTCTTTTCCCAAATTAATCGGTTCTCTCAATCCCTTCCCCACTGCCATTGGCCTCCTGCTCTTGGAATCTTCTTTCTTTTGCATTTCCATTTCCAGTCTCTCTCTTCTAGTTTTTATCCTGTCTCTTCCCTTCTATCACTGCATTTCTTCAAAGAGTGGTCTAGACTAGTGCTTCTCAAACTTGATGTGCTTAAGAATCACCTAGGGATCTTGTTTAAATGTAGGTTTTGATTTGTTAGGTCTAGGGCAGAAGCTGAGATTCTGCATTTCTTAGGCTGCTGCAGCTGGTCCTAGGGCCACATTTGACATAACAAGAGTCTAGGCCACTGCCTTTGCTTCCTTAGTCACTGGGCACACCTGCAGCCTGGGGCTCCTGAACAGGCCCTGCTAACCTTATTTCTCATCTCCTTATCACATTGCCAATTTTGAACTTTCTCAGTCTCAGTTCTTTGGAGCATCCGACCCAGTGACCACTCCCTTTATGGCTTTGTGATTCCATGTTATTCTGGCTCCCTGGATCCTGCATGAATCTCTGACCCTACAACTAACAACCCTCTGACCACAGGAATCCCTAATGTGTAAACAAGCTGTTTTCCAAAAGTTGCTTTTGAGAATGGAGAACACATCTTATAAAATTAAAACAGTGCTATACTTGGTGGGATGTTGCATGAGTCAGCCCATAAAAATACCTATTTAATTGAGATAAAGCCCAAAGAATATTTGTGTGGTGACAGTGCTATGAAACCTCCCCATAATGCATCACCATGGTTCCCGAGCTTCCTCTGGGGAGCAGGAGCAGGTGTCCCTGTGGCAGACCATCAGGCATCAATTCACTTGCTGCTTTTTCTGTAATCTACATTTATTCCTTTTAAACAGTGTTTGTTTTCCTTCCCTGGACTACAGTGGAATGTAAAATCATGGCTAGAAAAACGTTTTTCTCCTTTAACCCACCACATTCTCCATTTACATGTAGACCCTTCGCAGAAAAAGAATGACCACATTGATAACAATAGCAAAACATCTATTACACTAAGGAAGGAAGAGTCATCTATACATGAGGAAAACCAGATTCTGCAGGACGCCATGTTGAGCATTTCATCACATGCTCTCTATTCTCATACCTAGGCAATTTCATCCACAATGGCAGTTTCAGTGACCACTTAACCAGTATGCTGAAGACTCCCACATTCTTCTGCCCCCTGAGCTCCGGCTTTATGTATCCAATTGTCTACTTGGTATTTTCTCTGGAACATTTCAAAGATACTTTAAACTCTATATGACCAAAACTCTATATGACCAAAACTCATGATCTTCTCTCCATCTCCCCCAAACTTGACTCTTGAGTTCCTTATTTTCCATTGTGCA